ACTATGTAATTTGTTACACAAAAAAAAATTGCCATGCATATCATATGATAAATGATCTACGTATACTCTACCCTTAAACCAGACCCTTTTTGTAAATCTTGTTCAAATATATCGAAAATAAGGAAATAAAGTAGTATTAGTAATAGGGATGGATCGGTCCGGTCCGGTTGGTCCCGGTCCTAGTGTCCTCGCGGTCCCAAAACGGTCCTTTAATGATTTCGTCATATCTTAATGCATGAGATCCTATTGGTCAAAAATGACTATCAGATGTAACAAATATCATATGATCTGTGTTACACCTGATCAAGCAATTTTTTATTGGGTGATACAAATATCAATGTTTACAAGGACCGGTAAGGACCAGTCCGTTCTTATCAGTCCCGGTCTAGAAACCGGTCTTTTTCAGGACTGATCCATCCCTAGGTTTGACTGTATATTTAATTTAATAATGGATCCTATCGATGTAGACATTTAATTTATTTATTTATTTATTTTGACCAGAAACACGTTTATATAATACTCATATAATAATAGTCATAGGAACAACGCAACGGCTCAATGAGAGTCAATAACAAAAAGACGAACGTACGAAAAAACTTTCTGAAGCCATTAAAACAATTATAGAATGGTGAAAATCCTAGACAGTAAGGTTTGCTGAAAACATCCGATAGATATGCTCAAGCATTATTATTCTTTTCTAAAGGTTATGAAGCTTATTCTAACTTAATACTCCTAGACAACCCAGTCTTGATACCGGGTTTTTTCGCCACCATAAGATCCCTCTTGCTGTGAAATTACGCGTTTAATACTTTTGAATTTATTCCTTGCTTTCTCATACTTATTTCTATGTTAAACGCGTGGATTTCGCTGCTCTTTTTTACGATAAGAATCTGATAATTAATTTGGCGCTTTGCACCTTCAGGAATAATATCTTCATAAACAACTCTATTTATCAAATAAAGGATATTTAACTTAGTCATATGATATAACTAAAATGATCAATATACAACTTACTTATTGTTACTATGTTCCATCTCAAACTGTTACTTACGCTGCTCTTTTGCAGCGTTTTTAGCTTCTTTCACCATATTATAGAAATCAATTGGTTCTTCTTCCTTATCGTTATCATCTGCCATATTATTATCATGATCACTCCAATCTTATTTATCATTAAATGATTCAAGAAATCCCAATTTTACGTTCCAATCTCTCTAATTTACCTAAAGTCTTCTTCAATTTTACTAGTGCATCTATCACAGGATGTTCGCGTAAATGTTGTGCTCCAAAAGATTTAAGTGCCAGATAAAAAGAAATATTTATTAAATAGTAAACTAATGTTTGATGTTTTATTGATATAAACTTCATGGCCGGATTATGTATAAGATTTTTTTGTCTAGCCCTAGTA